GGATGCCTTTTCTGTTTTTCTTCTTTTTCCCTGAACTTCACAGAATTCTATTTTAGCGTGTTGAGTAATGGTGGATTAAGTAATTCTGTTTCTTTTTGCCCTAGGTTAACATGAAAGGTTTTTTGGTTTTCTACTCCTTCCTGCTTATCCATAGGATTAGGGCTTTTTTGCCTTTCCTTTCCCCGACTTGCGATTTGTCGTGTCGTGGGCTTCTCATTTGACATTCTGATTAAGCTGATTTTGGGGCAAAAGTATGATTGTTGATTTTTTTTTTCCTTTTTGGCTATTACGTCTCGTGTTGGAATTTGCTAGGGTTTCAGCCTTTTCAATATAGCCATAAATTATAATGAGGATGTTTTATGGTGCTTAAAAATTTATCTATTGCGTTATGAGGTGTAAAATTTATTGTCGCCGAAAATCAGCCAGTGTTTGTTGTTAAGAATTAAAAGAATAGACATCATTGTATTTGGGTTCTGGTTAAATAGAACTCGTAAGTAATCGGACAATGGAAATACACGGTGATTTAGGTTATCTTGACAGACCGCATTTGTCATGGTAGGTTACTCAAATTTGGATGTATCTAATGCCTTTTGGTTATGCCTGTTGCAGGCAATCTAGATGAGAGGGTAAGTGATAGGGTACTGTATGACATCCTGATTCAAGCTGGTCGGGTGGTGGACTTGTACATTCCTCGGGATAAAGAAACTGAGAAGCCGAAAGGTTTTGCATTTGCACAATATGAAACAGAAGAGGTAGCAGACTATGCTGTCAAGCTTTTTTCTGGCCTTGTAACCCTTTACAAAAGAACATTGAAATTTGCGGTATGTCTTTGTTCTTTGTGATTCATCTTGTAAGTTTTACTTTATACACTATATTACTCCATCTTTTTTTGTTTTTTTTCCCCAAGTTTGGGTCTTATGTTTGACTCAATTTGCTGTATCATGTGGTAACTTTTTGCTACATTTGTACTGCTATTCGTGCTCTCTCTCTCTCTCTCGTTTTTGTTTTGTTTTGTTTTGTTTTAACTCTTCAACATTGGCCTCCAAGTCAGCCTGCGACTGGTTTCTCTTTGGGACTCCATGAGACGGTTAAATTTGTTGCTCCTCCTGAGGAGGGGTTTGTGGAGCTTCCGCTTACATCTTCTCTTGAAGAGGCAACAACTGAATTAGCTTATGGACCCTTACACAACTGGTGTAGGCTGACATTTGTAAATTGTGTTGAGGAGGCATGATTTTTCCAGCTTGCATAGAAAGTTTAGTAATATTTGGACATTGAAAACAGATTTCTGGGCAAGACAGGCCCTCAATGAACTTGCCTATGGTAAGTTCCTCTCACAAACCGAGGCCTCACCCTGTAGCGTATAACGAAACGGGCGTTTCTCCAAATTCCATGAGGTTATCGACATCATGCAGGTTTCAAGATCACCAAGTAAACTATTCACAAGGTGATGCATACTTTCAAGACATCATTGCGTTTAGAAACCCTTGCATTTAATATTTACAACTTCTTCTGTTTTTGTGTTTAACAAAATTTGCTTTCTTATTCAGTGCGTGTCACTCCTGGTGTGTCTGTAAACCAGCCAAATGGGTATAGATCCAATTATGACAACAATGATTATGAGCATTCTAATGGATATAGATCACATTATGACAGCAACAATTATGATTACAGTCGAAGAGTGTTTGGGGCAGCATTGGATAATATTAATCGCTCTAGGTTGGGCCGATATGATACACGTGATTCTACCAGTTATTATGCCTCGTATTGATTTATAAGTTAGGTGGATACCAACTATAACTTTTCAGGTATGAAGCAACGTTGCAGATGTGATAATTCGGGTAGCAAAGTAGAAGGTTGTATATGTATAGCTCATGTTTATGGTTTTAGCATTTGTGTGTATCTGCATCTATGGTGTTTGTGTTTTAGCTTTTGCACTTATGAAACCTGAATTTCTTGGAACTTTATGTTGTTGTAGCAACGAGGTCATTTCTATGTTTGTAATCTGAAATTAGAGATCCTAGTAGTGATAATCAGTTGTAATCATTCAATGGATGACTTATTCTCTTCTGTTTTATTCTTTTTTATTTCTGAACCATAATTTGCTGTTATCCTGTATGATAGCTTAACATATATGGCATGGTTTTTTTTTTTTTTTTTTAAAGTCTGATTGTATTACTCTGGAGATATGCCCTTTAGATTTGGAAAAGATTTTTCCTCTCACTTAGTGATTCTCCTTGATGGAGCAACTTTTATGGAACAAGCACGCACAAATTCCTTTTCAATTGTAAAGCTGGGGGTGAGTGTCAGGTACCATATGGCGTACCTGATAATTCCATTCTCCCAAGAACTTGTGATCAGTTGCATTAACTGGAAATCCAAGGTACTATTTTTTGGCTGAATCACTCCAGAAATTAATTTATTACATTCAAGTATGGGAAAAGAGCAGAGTTGAGCAGACAAGCATTATTCCTATCATGTACAGTTAGATTGTTCAGTATGCATTTGTTCATGTGTGCAACATGTCGAGATCAGTTGGTTTATTAGGATTCTGCTTCCTGGTAACTGCTTTACGTTTTCATTCTGATTTGGTCTTGGGAATCTGTGATATCTATCTCGATGTTTGATTGTGTAGCTGCGTGCTGTATCATCATTTGTAAAGAGCCAATCGTGAATATTCTTAGCGTGTGGGGTGTTCTTTAATTTCTTGATTAGTTTCACTCTGGAAGCTCATAGCATAAGAAGCTTCATTGCTTTTGGTTGTTTTGGAGCTTGTACAATTACCAATCTGTTTGTTTTGGCAAATGGGAAAGATTTTTGGAAATTTTTAATTGTACTTTATTTTTATAGGCTCGCAGTCAAATCTTGGTTTGGCTTCGGTAGAGCAGGATTTGATTGTCTACTCCTTGCAAGAGGCCTGTATTTGTCATGAAAATAGTCGAGGTTTACTCTTGTACTGGGCATAGCGAATAACAACTGATAATTTAAAGCATAGAGTTGCAATATGTTTTCCCATTTCTCACTCCATTCCTTGCGCTTTTGCTCTTGCCCTACCCCGTGCCCCTTCCTGCGACCTTCTTTTCATGTTGTGGAGTCAGACAAATGGAGGAGCAACTTTTGTGTCATATTGACAGGAAAAGAAGGGGAGAAATGGCAATAAGATGATGTCCATGGCTCTCGTTGCAGAGAAAATTACAGAAATAATTTGCTGGTGCTCTTAAAAATCATGTGTTTGCTAACGTTGCTCAGCAGTGGATTAGTGGTCTAATGCAATCGTAGCTAGTTGGTTCCACCAGGTTTTCCTAAATTCCCGGGGTCAGTGTTTTGATATTCCAGGGTCTGAATTCTGATGCAGGCAAAATAAAATTAACAATGGTTAAAAAGAATAGGACGCGTGTTCTTTTTGTTTATGGTGTGCCCGCCAAGTTGTCAGGCTCGCTTGATTTGGTCAATTTGCATCGTTGATGACTTCCCACAGAAAAGAGAGTGTCGTCTTCTGCGAGGTTCATGCAAATTTGAAAATCCTCTAATGGCCTCCAAGAAGGGTTACTGAAAAGCATTCCGCAACAGCAATGCCAATACAATTTGAGACTCTCTGGATGTTACAATTTAAGATGGGATGATATGAAATTGGGGAAAAATTGACGCGTCAGTATGGCGTAAAAACTGAGAACTCATAACTACGAAGAGAAAATTTTCATACTTTCTAGTTGATGAACGCGAGTAATAATTGTCAACTGAAGAACTGGAAACTTTGATATCCTGTTGGAGGTGGGAGAAGGAAACTTAACGTAAAACATATTCCTGTCTGTGGACTTGATCATCATCAGTGACTTCCGTAACCTATTTATCAGCAGCTTCGACACTTTCATCTTCAATGGTACAGTCCCCTGTATCCCTAAACCACAAATCTTCATTGAATGCGGTTTCACAGTTGACCTCTCGGCCACCAAATCACCAAATTCTTTCGTGGGAGCCTGCAGGCATGCTCTGGTGAGAAGTTTATCATCTCAATTTGTTTTAGAATCTTTTGTATCTGTTTATAATTAATCATTTTTACATATTCATTGTGCAATGGTTAACCATACATGAGTCAACCATGCGCGTGTATCAAGATTTATATATCATGATTCGGACCGTGCAAAATCAATTTTTATGCCATGACAGGACCGATAACATATCGCTTGTACAAACTAAACAAACACTCGCTATTTTTTTAAATAAAAAAAAAAAAAATTTCTAGTGGGAAGGTATGAGATTTAAGAAATGGAAATGAGAAAGAAAGATCAGAATCTCTAATTATTCTAACCTCAATTCTATTTTAAAGAAATAGCTTCTTTTTTTTTTTTTTGGAGGGGGGCGCTCACAGGAAAAATGTTTTAATATGCTAACATAATACAATCAAGCACATGTTTACTACCTTTATTTCTAAGTGAGAACTAAACGGGTGGTTATTACTAATGCTCAATTCAAAAATAAAATAAAATAGTAAAAAAATAAAGGGTGATGCCTAATATTCAGGTAGGGTAAAATTTGATACTCGTCCGATGATTAATTCGATTAGACGACCGATGGGTAATCCGTCAGGATTTGATATTGATGAGGTGTATTCGATGGATAATCCAATAGAGTTTGGTAAGAGAACTCTAAAATCCTGAAACTCGACGTAAATACACACACATATAGTAGCAATCTTTTTATGCATTGATATTTAGTGATCTTTTTACACTAATAATTTTGAATGTGTATAATAATTTTTTTTTTACACTAACACCTTTGGATGTATATCACAGGTGTATGATAGACATTTTCTTGTAGATTACTCTCATGTAGGTTATATGACCCTACCAAAGTTTAAAATTCAATTTAATGTGTGGATTAAACATTATGTATGTACTAATTTTAGTTTGATAATAGTTAATTACCTTTTTCTCAATCATTCAAATTAGCAGGTAGAAGATAGCCAATAAATAATCCGAACTCGAGAGTGAGAGAGTTTGGTAATGAAAGTTAAAAATCTGTAAAGTTACCCGATGTGATTGGTTAAAAAATTTAGATGCATGGGTTAGAGTTTGACGAGGAATTTTTAAGGACATGCGATCCCAGGCTTCAACTGAGCAATTCCGCACAAAAGCACAAATGATGCAATAGCAGTGTCTCTCAAGAAACAACAGAGTATCTCTAAGCCTGATGATCTTTTTTACGCTTGATTGAGCTGATATGATGAAAGCAAGGCTGCATTCTGTAGCAGGTCATCTGAATAGAAGAGGTCAACAGGATGTCTTTCAGCTGAATTTAAAGATAACCCAGCTAGCCAAAAGAGGTGACATTGATGAGGCCGTCAGAGTATTCAACGCAATAGCACATCCCAACGCTGTCACTTACAACTCGATGATCTCCGCCTATGCTAAGAATGGAAGAATCAGTGAGGCTTGTGCTCTATTTAATCGAATGCCATTTAAGAACTTGATTTCTTGGAACACAATGATGAGTGGTTACTTGTATGATGACTATTTTAAAGAAGCAGCTGACTTATTTGATAAAATGCGTCGAAGGGACTCTTTTACTTACAGTCTCATGATTACTTGTTATGCACGTAGCGGTTTCGTAGGAAAAGCAAGACGAATATTTGATTCGATGCCCGATAAGAGTTGTGCAGCGTGTTGGAATGCGCTGATTACAGGGTATGTCAAGAATGGGATGCTCAGCGATGGTAGGAAATTGTTCAATGAAATGCCAGTGAGGAACTTGGTTTCGTGGAATACAATGCTTTCGGGATATACCCGTAGCGGGCAAATGTGTTTGGCTGCTAAGTTTTTCGAAGAGATGGAAGAAAAGGATTGGATTTCGTGGAATTTGGTATTAGAAGGGTACACGCAAGCTGGTGATCTGAATGCTGCTAGGGAGTTTTTTGAAAGGATTCCCAATCCAAGTGTTGTTTCTTGGGCCACAATGTTGAGTGGCTTAGCAAGGCATGGCCACCTTTCAGAGGCAGAGGGATTCTTTAACAACATGACGGAGAGATATGTTGTTGCTTGGAATGCGATGTTGGCTGCATACATTCAGAATTGCAAGGTTGACAAGGCAGTAGAGTTATTTAATGAGATGCCACAGAAGGATGCTATATCATGGACTACCATCATCAGTGGTCATGTCCGAATTGGTCAGCTTGAAGAAGCGAAGAAATTGTTGGATAGAATGCCTTATGAAAATGTAGGGTCACAAACAGCCATGATACTTGGCTTTATTCAGAACAATAGGATGGATGACGCCCGTCAAATTTTTGATCGCATGAGGAAACGTGACACTGTCTGTTGGAACACGATGATCGCGGGATATGCTCAACATGGAAGAATGGATGAAGCTTTCGATCTATTTCAAAATATGGCCCCAAAGAAAATAGATACTTGGAACACCATGATTGCGGGCTATGCTCAAGTAGGAAAAATGGAGAGAGCACTTGAGTTGTTTGAGCAAATTGAGGAAAAGAATGTAGTTTCTTGGAATTCCATAATTTCAGGTTATGCACAAAATGGGTTATACATGGATGCACTGAAGAGTATTTTGCTCATGATTCGTGATGGGAAGAAGCCTGATCAATCCACTTTTGCTTCTGGCCTAAGGGTCTGTGCGAGTCTTGCAGCTGAGCAATTTGGGCAGCAACTTCATCACATTGTGGTGAAAAATGGTTATATGAAAGATATGGTTGTCAGTAATGCTCTAATTACGATGTATGCCAAGTGTGGAAGTATCTTGAGTGCCAGAGATGTATTCAGTGATGTTGATAACCTTGACGTGGTATCCTGGAATTCTTTGATAGCAGGCTATGCTCTAAATGGATATGGGATAGAGGCATTCAAACTTTTCCAAGAAATGGAAGGATATGCTGTCATTCCTGATCAAGTTACTTTTGTTGGGGTTCTTTCTGCATGTAATCATGCAGGCTTAGTTTCTGCAGGTCTAACCTTGTTCAATTGCATGACGCAGAAGTATGGCATTGAACCTTTGGCTGAACATTATACTTGCATGGTCGATATGCTTGGCAGAGCAGGAAGGTTAGAGGAAGCCTTTGAGTTAGTCAGGAAAATGAAGGTCCAAGCCACTGCAGGAATATGGGGTGCTCTTCTTGGGGCTTGTCGCTTGCATAAAAATGTGATGCTTGCTGATTTTGCTGCTAGGAAGCTTTTTGAAATTGAACCTCATAAAACATCAAGTCTAGTGCTTCTCTCAAATATTTATGCTCAGTCAGGGAGGTGGGATGAGGTCGACAGAGTTAGAAATTTCTTGAATCAGAATGGCATTGAAAAGGAGCCGGGATGCAGCTGGATTCAGGATCAACGCCAGATATTGGTTTTTCAATCTGATGATTATTCATGGCCAAAAACAGCAGAGATATATAGGGCATTACAGATTTTAACAACACAGATTATGGAGCTTTCCTGTTTAAATGGTATTGAGTGTGCTCTTCTTGATGTTGGATGATTTATTTCATCACATGCATCAAATAAAGTTTTAGCGGTACTTCAAAATGCCCTTCTGCAAATTCACTTGTTCAGGTTCTTTTTGGTACTCGTTGAGAATTACCTTGGCTTTGTATGCATGAAGATGATATTGGTACTTGCTTAGGTATTGTTCTAATAATCTTGTACTTACTATTTGGAAGATATTTGGTGCTAACATGCAATACTGGGGATGTTATATTGCATGAAACTCTTGAATGCTACTGCTTAAACTTCAACTGCAGAAAAAGCAGTAGGCTTCAGAAAATAGCTGACAGCCCCCACCTCCTTGCCACTTCCTCGTTTTCTTCTCCTGAAATCCTCTTTTCATGTAGTTAAGTATTTTCAGAATTTATGTTTGTTTCCCTTTATTTAAAAAAAAATTGTTTCCCTTTTGCGTTCATTGTCTGTTAAAATTTCTTGCTGATTTTAATTGTGTAGATAGAACTGCCAGATGGATTTAAGAATGGAGCAAAGCTTCTGGTGAATTTAGATCTGAATATGTTTCTTGTTAAATAGATGTACATATTAAATGAGATGAAGCAGTTCAGAGAAGCTTAGATTACTTTCAAATTTTAAAATTTAACTACGCAGTGACCCATTTCATGTCTCATGAATGTAGATCCTACATGTGAGTAGAGTTGTATGGTACCATCTGAGGATGATCCTGTCATGAGCTAATTCAGAAGTTTGGCACACAGGAAATTTAACATCTGTAAGTGCTGTAAATTCCATGTTTACTTGCACTTTTTCCATCTCCATATACGGTTTAACTGCTTTTAGTTTCGAAAACTCATACTATCATAAACCCAACTATGAAAATGATGCTAAAATAGAACAAGCTCCCAATAAGCTACGAATACTACAATAGGTTACCTGTTTACATCACATAATTGATATTCTATTTACATCTGAAGACAAATTAGGAAAGAAGCGTACATTTGATTTCTTATTTGTATTACATTTTCTTGATACAGGACACATATTCAACACGAATTATTATTCTGATAGAGCTAGTCACAAACTCTAAATTGACAAGCGACTATGAGGCTATCAAAATCAACCTGCCTCTAGATCTCGACCCCATATGCACGAACAGACAAATATAAGACACGTGAAGCAAAAGATAAGAGTGTGTAGAACATGGTGAATGTCAGATTAAATGTAAGACATGTGAAGGTCCTAAAAGTTTGTTTCTCAGGGTTTGGTAAAGCTCTATATCTTTAAAGGACTTTGCAATACGAAGTTCTTCATGTTCATTTTGTATTATAATAGTATTATTGTTTGAAACTTTCCTTTTGGGAAATTATGCAGGAGAAAGCTGCACTAAATACCTGTTTAGAGAGCCTCTTAATACAAGAATATTGTAATCTTTCAGGTACCAAAAACTCTTTGATTAGTAGTTACGCTTTTGGGTCACTTCATATTGACTTAACAATTCAGCATAATTATGAAATATGAACTCTTTTGTTCAGTCTTGACAGAAATGTCAACTTCTAAATGTGTATGTCTGGATAGTAATTCAACTACCTGATGTAAATGAATGCATTTATTAAGAATGACTTGTGGTAGTTCTATGTATGATATTTATCTTAGTTAAAAGCTGCTCCACTTTGAGTTTGATTACCTTCTGTAGTATTACTAATACTATTGACTTCTTCTGCATGTCCAGAATTTTTTTTAATGCAAATTTATTGACAGATGTTTACATAAGGAAGTAAGATATCATTCTGATGAAATGGGAGGGAAGACTAGTGTGAGAAGGTTGTTCTTTGACCTTCTTAACACTGTAGTATTAACTGTGTATACATAGTATTTGATCTTCACAACGTTATGGTTTTCCCATAGTTTTCATTTTAGTACAAGAAACTCGATGATTCTACAATGTCAACAAAAATTGGTGTGCACACTTTCTTATTGCAGTTCTGGTGAATTAATGTTGGCAATAGGTCAGATTTTGTTGTTTGAGTTTTTCAATGACTACCTTACTGAGACTCAGCAGAAATTTGATGACCTGAGTATGGTGTTTATTATCAACTGGTATTGCAGTTCAATATGTATATCTCTTTTGGCTCTTGGCTCTGATCATCGCACCCCAGATCATGTAAATTAGTGCCAGTAATTGAGTTGCAATTAGTTTTTCTTATCTTTTCCTGAATGCTTCTCAACTTCCACTTGGAACATCATTGCCAACTTGTCAATTTCCATTCTGCATTCAGTTGGAGAGCAGATCACATGATGCTATACTGTGCCAGGAGGCTTTGGATTGGTAACTGAAGTTCATCAGATATGCATCCATAGTGGTGTGCAAGATGATGCAAACTATCAAATTTAACTAGACATCCATGTGAAGAGGTGGAGACATAACATACAAAAGAGATCAAAAGAAAAACAAGCTAGATTTATGTATGTTTCTAATTGTAAGCAATGAGAATAATGTCATCATCAATATAGTTTTTGTAGTTAGGCATCGTTCAAGAATGTGGATGTTTGAATGTTGGCAGTGAGAAGCATTCTAGTCTGGCCTACTACATTAACAACTTCATATTTCTTAAAAATCTGAGTTTTACATGGCATATATAACATTTAAAACATTATACTTTTGAAATTTCTTTTGCATCATTGATTAGGATGATTTGAAGCAAATTATAATGATCAAGAGATATATGAATCTTCGTTATCGTTGGACTTCTCTATTGGCACTGGCTAACCAAAATTACTGAGACTGTTTTAATCAAGTACACAAATGTGTTTATACTTCATAAAGAACGAAAAGTGTTGATAACAGCATAACAGAGATATAAAATGTTCTGCATGTAGTTCTCTGAGCATGATATATTGTTGTAATTTCTGGGTACTGAAAATTTGTGTATCTTACTCATCAATGCAAAGTTTGCTACTTAGCTTATTTCTTGCTTGGTTGAAAGTTTAGATTTCTCCTGAATAAACTGTCTCACTTCCTTAACAAATAGTGCAGACTCAGGCAGCTCTGGAAAGTTATAGAAACCATGAATACCATTAGGATATTCAACCAACCAAACGTCCTTTCCACACCTCCTCAACCCCTCACAATACCTTTTCTGCCAATCCTGCAATGGATCAAACCCTGCAACAAATACCAGCGAGCTTGGAAAATCCTCCGGCACTGTGTCTGCTGCTTTAAAATTTGGTCCATCTCTGAAAACATTGGCTGCTTTATGGTTTCTATCAGCACCTTCGGGCAAGAAATTCCTCCACATCCTGTCTATGCTCTCGATATTGAGGAAAGGCACTCTTGTGAGCCTCAGTTCTGATGCAGTGCGCTCTTCTCCACCAAAAAGTGGTTGCATGGCTAGCAGCCCAGCAATCTTTATTTTCTTAAACTGGTGAGAGTCTTTGCAGGCCCTGTGTGTTACATGGTGGGCTATGTTTCCTCCAGCACTGTCTCCGGCTATGAAGCATTTGCTCAGGTCAGTTTTGGAGGGCAAAACAGCATAATTTTGTGCTTCTATATACTTAAGGGTGTCGAAACCATCATCATAGGCACAAGGGAATCGGTGTTCTGGGGCAAGGCGATAGTTAACAGATACAATGGTTGCGGGTATCTGAGCTGCTAGGTTGCAACAGAGAGCATCAAAGCTCCTGGAGTCCGGACCAAAATATGTGAATCCACCTCCATGGAAATAGACAATGAGTGGCAATGTTTCAGCTGAGGATTTGGTGTCTGGGACGAAGAGGCGGAACCAGAGGTTGCGAGAGGGGTCGACGGAGATGTCAGAGGAGGAGACAGGTACGTCATTGAAGACTTTGGTAGTGGGAGCTATGACTTTTTGGTCGAGGAGGCTGAAGAGACGGCGGTTGATGGTGCCATCAGAGCGGACACATACTTTTGCAGCAAAAGTGCCGATGGAGATTTGGAGTCTCGTCTTAAAGGGGAGAGGCGGTTCCATTGCTGTGACCTATATAAGCCTCAATTTGGTAGTATGTTTGTGAGACTCAGATGCGGTTGTCGCTGCTTTTATGGCTTCATGGTGAACGTTATTTGCTAAGCAGACTAGCAATGAAGAAGCCAACAGAAAGAACATAAACCAGGTACCACATCTCCAACTAGTAATTCCTGCCGGACATCAGATGCCAACCTAAATTACTAAAAGTTGAATCATTGGAATGGAAACAATAATGGAAGAAAAGAACGAGATGTTTTTGTTGCATCTGGATGGACAGTGCGGCAGCAAATAATTGAAAAGAATCCAACTCTTGTTGTTTACTTATTTGACCTCGGAGCTCTAGTAGTAATTCCAACTTGAAAAATGACATTGCATGTATGTTTTGACGTGCATGTCTCGTATACTTTTGAAGAATCCGTCCGTCGTTTGTTTCCTTTTCTCTGCTTTTGCGTGAATCTTTGATTGTGCTGTGCTAAGTGATTAATAAAACTAGTCCAAGAGCTTCCCACTAAGGAGATATACAGATTCCTTGTTTATACAGCAACACGAGTTCAAGCAATGGCTCACATTTTTAAATTTGTAGTTCCATCCTTTCAGGTGGTTTTACCCGGAAAAACATAACCAGAAGAAAGGGGGAAAAAAAACGAAGATTATGATCAGGCAGAAGCTGAGACATATTAATTTATGGAGTTCTCAGAACTTCTGTAGCAATATTTTAGAGAGAGAAGTGCCGATCGAAATAAAGAAACTGATGTCACACCAACTGAATTGGCTCTTATTCATCACATAAATGGATCGTCTTGGGAACATATAAAGGGAATATATATATATATCTTATGAACTGATTGAGTTCCAGCTCTTCCATCAATAATGAGTGATGCGTCTGTAGGGTACTTTGAAACACTCGTAATCAAGAATTTGCGGGCTTGCAGACATGGTTTTTGCAGTCTAATGCACAGGCTTCTTCCTTGGCTTCGTCTGCAAATTAAGATTGAAAAGCAATGTTGCATTGCAGTATCCATTAATTATGTATATTTATGTATGTTACAGATTGCGGAGGTGATCAGAGTTTGAACGGGGAATTAATTAATTAAAGATCCCTACGTACCATCGTGGAATTTGGAGCATTTCTCGAACATGCATCCAAGGTTGCAATAATGGTGGCCAGCTGGGGGTGGTGGTGGTGGCTGCTGCTTCTGGCCGCCGGCAGCAAAAGATGGAGAAAGAGAACCACAGTGCTTTTCGCAATACTTGAAGCACCTCAAAGGACTGATACCACTGTGTTTGCAACCCTCCAAGCAACCTTCTAAGCAGCCTCCTTTTTCTATGTGTGCTTCGGCTCCGCTCATCATCATCAAGCAGCCCCATAACAACAAAGCCATCATCATCACCATCACAGTTACTGCATGTTTTCCGGTTCCCTCCATAATTTTCTTTTTCTTGGTCTTGGTACGTAATCCTGGAGTAGTGTATGATTTCTGACCTTTGTTGGAATTGGCATGGCACATGTATATATATACATATACAGCTAGAGCAAATTTGTGTGTAGGTGAATTTTTGCTGATCAACTTAACATCATTCACACTAGACGGGTTCCAAGTCTTTCACAAATTTTGCATTCATTACTTACTCATCTCTATCGAATGATTTGACCTGTCTTGCACTTGCACCTGCTTCACATCTTGCTTCATTTAGTCGTCAATGAATCAAAGATTATGACTAAATAATCTTAATTAGGTAACTACTTCCAACTAATAATGCTGTATTTTTTTACAAATTATCTTTGGGTTTCGTCTGTACTTTTTAGTCTATCTTGAAAAACAAAACAAAAATAATTTGGCTCTCTTTTTTTTTTTTTTTTTTTAATCCTAAAAAACTGTTCATACAAAAACACATGTCATGAATCTAACGGTGATAATATATATACTATCAGTGTATATAAGATTTACTCTAATTTATATATCAAGCATTAAAGAATAACAGATGTGCACTATTATTACAGGCCCAGGCCAGCAACAAACAAAATACTGATAGGCCCTACTTTTATAATTGGGCCACTGCCCGTTCCGCCTTCCTAAAGGCTAAAACACTAATACCAGTAGTAGTAGTACAAACGAATCGGGTCAAGTCGGTTCATAGTAGGTCCAAGTCTCTTTCTGTTTCCAGAACCAACTAGGGTTTTTGTTCTTCTTTTTCTTTCCTTCGTTATTCTATCATTCGCCATTAGAGATATCCGATTAAACCACAGTTTTGTCGTTCACCAAATCACAATCATAATCTAGTAAGTTTTGCCGTATACCTTTTCTGGGGATTAGATTTTGTAAAGATTAAAAAAAAAAAAAAAAAACTCAATCAGGGAAAGATGAGGCCGATACTGATGAAAGGCCATGAGAGGCCCCTGACATTTTTGAAGTACAACAGAGACGGCGATCTTCTATTCTCTTGCGCCAAGGATCATACTCCAACCGTCTGGTTCGCCGACAATGGCGAACGCCTCGGCACTTATCGTGGCCACAACGGAGCCGTCTGGTGTTGCGATGTCTCCAGTGAGTCCCCCACCCCCCCCTCCCGACCAGCTCCCATCGCCACATTTTGTTATCATATCGTGTTCTCTCTAGTTTAATTATGAATTTTGTTTAGGTTTATAGTGTCATTTAAATCATTTAACCTTTTTTTTTGTTTTCACTTTTACTTATAATTCAATTCTCAGCTGAATATCGGTGTGCTGATGCTGGTGTTGTTTTTGTTTCCCCATGAAACATATAGGTAGAGAATTTTAAAGTCCCTTGTCTCCCCTGGTCGAAATATGCGTAAAAGGAATTTTTCCAATCTTGTTATTTCTCACGCAGCTAACTAATTTGTTGAAACATATACACGTTGTATGAATTTTCAACAATTCATATTTTTTTCAAGTAAATCTGTCTGGCTGTTCCATCTCCGTATCCTGATATAACACACTGGTGCTGCTGCTACACTTTATATTTTCTCGCTCGCGAATGCATGTAGCTACTTCGCATTAAGAGAAATTTTTGAAAGATGTGGTTTGCAATGTTCGGGGAGATTAAAACTTACATTAACATGTTAAGATATACAGTTTTGTGTCGAGAGTTAGTGTAAATATGGGTCTTTAATTTAGGGTAATGGTTATACTGATGTGGTATTTTTGGTTTAGGGGATTCGTCTTTGCTGTTAACTGGAAGTGCGGATCAGACAGCAAAACTTTGGAATGTTAAAACAGGGACTCAGCTGTACACTTTCAACTTTGACTCGCCAACTAGGTCTGTTGATTTTGGAGTTGGTGATAAACTTGCTGTCATAACAACTGACCCCTTTATGGGATTGCCTTCTGCAATTCAAGTCAAACGAATTGCCAGAGATCCTGCTGACCGTGAGTTGATGTGTTCTTTTGTTGTTACTTGCAAAAATGATGATCTTATGCTTGTACTTTTTTTATTTGGAATCTTATCTGGGTTCTGTACTTATATTCTGGTTTGAACATTTCTGTTCTGTTTTTCAATCTGAAGGGATGACTTAATCACCATTTCTATGATGCTATGTGTACCAGAAAGAAAAGAGCAGGAAAACAATTTAATTGTTTACACATTGACTAATTTTGGACTTTAAAGAATTGTATCGTTCTTTAATCCGGATTCTGTGTTATCTCCAATTTCTTTCTTCCATCACATTATTTATTTTGCTTGTAGATGTGTTGATTTACTGGATTGTAATGGGTTTTATGTTACTCGGACTCTTCACTTTGTCCCGCCATACCTGTGTCGGACTCTTCATTTGCTCTAGGTTACCCATGTCCACAGGACTCCTGTACCTGGATCCGAGAAACATAGAATGTTTTTATACTTCATCATTATGATGTGAAGCATCAGTTTGTGCATCCATGAACCCACATGCACTGACAAATTTCCCTGAGTTTTCTTGCTGTTTTTTGTGCTCATAAAGCCAGCTGCAGCTGTTTGATGGTTTCTCTTTATTATGTTTTCCTTGTAGTAATCATGTAAAATGCCCTCACCCTCCCCCACCGAAAAAAAAAATCCCTTAATTGCTCTAATTTCTTGACTAACTAGTTGTTTGCCAAAAGTTCTGACATCATTCATTTCGCAGAGTCCGGTGATTCTATTCTTGTACTCAAAGGCCCTCAGGGAAGAATTAACAGGGCTGTTTGGGGACCTTTGAACAAGACTATCATAAGTGGTGGTGAAGATTCTGTAATACGTATCTGGGATTCTGAGGTTACACTTTCTTGTTTGACTTTTCTAGCTTTTAGTCACTCTGTCACAAAGATCTTTTGTGTGCATCATTGGGTTTACCGTAGCATATTTGTTTTACACTATTTTGCTGCTTCATGTCTCTGTTTTTTATTTAGATTCTTGTACATCATTTAGGCATGGATGGAAGTTAGTCTTCTCTTACTTTTTTTTTTGTCCTTAAATTTTTTTAATATCAGACTGGGAAATTACTCAAAGAGTCTGACAAGGAGGCTGGTCACAAAAAAGGCATAACATCGCTTTCAAAATCCAATGATGTGACGCATTTCATCAGTGGTTCTCTTGATAAGTCAGCTAAAGTATACTTCTTTGTCATCTTTGGTTTCTTTTTTCTTTTCTCTTTCTTTTGGATGATCCCCTTCTCTTCCTTTTACCTCTACCATCTGTAGTTTATTATTTCCTTTTTGTCTTATTTGTTTGTTGTTAATCTTTTTTGTTAGCTGTGGGATATGAGAAATTGACACTTCTGAAGACCTATACAACTGAACGTCCTGTGAATGCAGTTGCAATGTCCCCGCTTCTTGATCATGTATGTACTGGTGGAACATCTGTAATTGTTTTTTACATTTATTGATGCACTAAGTAAGTTTGCTTCTTGTTTGTTCTGTGGATAGAGTATTTGTAGGTAAGATGGATCAAATAGCATTTATTGATTAACAAAATGTGCAGAAGCTCTTTATGTATATCAGCTTACTTTCGTACTTATGTGTTCTTTATTGAGTTGGTGCATCTTTTAAATGGTGTCTTGTCAACTTTTCTTGAAATTTTTGGTTGGAAATTCAGTAGCACAATTTATTAGCCATTCCTTGTGCACTTTCTGATGTTAGATCATCAGTATTGCAATTCATCCATCAAGTGTTTATTTTTAGTTTCCTTATGCTGCCAATGTGACTGATTTATGGTAATTTTTTATTATAATGATAGTAAGTAGTGTCTTGATTCTTGCATTGGAATTTGATGATGTTTGGTCATATATTTCATAGCTGATGAACTTTAAACTAGCACTTATAATCATTTTCCCTTAACTCTGTGGGTGCTGCAGTGTTTAGAGAGCAGGCAATCTAGTTTCTGTTGGCAACAATCTTTAATTGGTGGGTTTTTTAGATATAATATAATAAGTCTGGGTGTCAGTGAATTCATTTCGGTTTTGGTTTTCCTTTCTATAACTTCTATATAATTTTGTGATGAGCAGACAAATTTTTTAATTTGAAGAACAGTATACATCCCTTGGTATCTTTGGGGTTAATCACCTCTAACCAATTCGTTGAGGGAATGACACTTTAGCTGTGGTCAATGTGGTTAGAGGCCAAAAAACGAGATTGATTGAATGAATTTTACAGAAATTCCAAACTGCTTAACTATTTAGAGGTGTTCCATTGAGGGACCATATCATAACATGTGCCTGCTCTGTTAGTTTGGATGGGAATAACCTTAAAATTTCTGTAATGTCTAGTAGAAAATAGAGATTCTGGCATGATTATCTTCCTATTAGTTGGTCGAACTGATTTTATGATTGTCATTAATTTAATTTCTCATATTTGTGCTTTCCTGGTGTGTTGATTGCAGGTGGTACTTGGAGGTGGTCAGGATGCATCATCTGTTACTACCACTGACCATCGTGCTGGAAAGTTCGAGGCAAAATTCTATGACAAGGTAGATAATTTTCTTGGAATGAGAGAGATGATATGCAGCTTTTAGGTCCCTCATAATAGTTGAATCTTTTATCTTGTGTTTAATTTGTATCCCTCATGGCGTGCTTGGTCAGGTTCTTCAAGAAGAGATTGGAGGTGTTAAAGGTCACTTTGGGCCAATCAACGCCTTGGCATTCAATCCTGATGGAAAAAGGTAATATCTTGCTTTGTATGGAGGTGGCGTACAATCATTTATGTTACAATTGGAATTGATTGGTGCTTGCTAAATTCTGGTATCTGGATTTCTGAAGAAAAGTAGGCATGTGCCAGAGCTTGTGAAGCGTCAAATTTTCAGTTTTTGGTTCTACAACTTGGATATACACTGTTGCATTTCTGTTCATGCTATGAAATGCTTCAGTGCTACAGTTTTTGGGTATTCAGCCTGCTTGTTCGATTACTTTGGTAAAAGCTTTGGATTACTACGGACTAATAATGCAGATCGGTGTTTGTTCTTTCTTCTGCAGTTTCGCAAGTGGAGGTGAAGATGGGTATGTGAGACTGCATCACTTTGATCCAGACTACTTCAACATCAAGATCTAGACTAGAATCGTCAAATTAAGGGATCTCCTTTCTCCAACAGCTCTTGTAGTCTAATGGCCAACAATTTTGCTT